TCCCCATTCCTGATGTCCCCATTCCCAATGACTCTGGCTCCATTCTCAATGTTTCCATCTCCATTCCTGATATTCCCATTCTCAATATTCCCAGCCCCATTCCCGATGCCCCTGCCCCCATTCCCAATGTTCCTATTTCCAATATCCCCATTCCCAATGTCCGATGTTCCCGCCCCCGTTCCCGATGTCCCCACCTCCATTCCTAATCATCCCATTCCTGATGTTCCTGTCCCCATTCCTGATATCCCCATCCTCATTCCCAATGTCCCTGGCTCCATTCTGTGTTCCCAACCCCATTCCCAATGTTCCTATATCCGATATCCCCATTCGCAATGTCCCCACCCCCATTCCTGATGTCCCCGCCCCATTCCCGATATCCCTGTCCCCATTCCCGATATCCCTGTCCCCATCCCCGGGCCAGGATCCATCGGGATCATTTTCCCTCCAGGTCCAACCTGCGGGCACTGTACCAGGGCGCCGTGCTGGACGTGTTTTCCAAGGCCCACATCCTGCGGCCTTCCCGGGAATCCCTCGTCTGCTGGATGGCCTTCTCCAGCTTCCAGGCGGCCTTCGCCTGCCTGGGTAAGGGGATTTTGGGATCACGGCATGGGGATCCTGATTGTCCTAAAGATTAAGCAGCAATTCCCCATTTTTGCCCCTTTTCCAAGAGGGTTTTTAGCCCCTTTTCCTTAAATGGAATCTTGCGGGTTTTGGGAGCATTGGATGGTTGGTAATTGGGAAAAACTTGGAAAATTATTGGGATTATTTGGTTTTGGATTTCAAGGGGGAGGAGGGGTTGGATTGATGCCTGGGTAATGGAATTTTGGGGTCATGGGATGGGGGATCCCAATTTTCTTTAGGATTAAGTGACAATTCCCTATTTTCGCCCCTTTTCCAAGTGGGTTTTTAGTCTCCTTTCCTCAAATGGAATCTGGCAGGTTTTGGGAGCATCGGATGGTTGGGAATTGGGAGAAACTGGAAAAAAAACCTGGCAAAAGTGCAAAAAAATTCAGAAAAATTGGATTGGGAATTCAAAGAGAAGGAAGGGGTGGGATGATGCCTGGGTAATGGAATTTTGGGATCACAGCATGGGGATCCCAATTTTCTTAAGGATTAAGCAGCAGTTCCCAGAAGGGTTTTTAGCCCCCTTTCCTCAAAGAGAATCTGGTGGGTTTTGGGAACACCAGATGGTTGGGAATCAGGAAAAACTAGAAAAATACTTGGAAAAATTAAGCTGGGAATTCAAAGAGGAGGAAGAGGTTGGAAGGTGCCTGGGTTTGGCTCTATCCCAACTATTTGGGTGGGAAAAGCTGTGGAAGCCTCTGGTCCTCGACGCATTCCGGGGGCTCCTCATCCCCATCCCAGCCTGGATCATCCTGGGAATGGGGAGGGGGATCCCAAAAAGAGGGGAAATTTTCATTCCACCCCCAGGAATTGTAGGGACAACCCCTTGGGAATGCAGACCTGGTTTTGGGGACTGGTGGGGTTTTTATGGGATTGTCAGGAAAGCGCCATGCAGAGATTTGGGGAATGAGAGCTGTTGTTCCATCCTGGATTCCCGCTCTGTGTTCCCATTCCAGGTCTCCTGATCCAGCAGGTGATTTTCTTCCTCTGCTTCGTGGCCTTCACCTTCCTGGTGGTGATCCCGCTCCAGCTCGGCACCAGCTCCCCGCTCTTCGGGATCATCCGGAACATGTGGTGAGCTGGGAAAGGTTGGAAACCCCAAGGAATGGCCCAGGATGGGTTTGGGATGCTCCATTTGGGGTTTTTCCAGCACCACTGGAAGCTTCAGCCCGTGGTGATGTTTTGGGACATTCCTGTTATTTTGGGACTTTCCTGTTGATTTGGGGCATTCCCAGTGTTTTGGGACATTCCTGGTGTCCATCCTGCACTTTGGGATGATCCAGAACATGTGGTGAGCCTTTGGGAAGGGTGGAAAACCCCAAGGAATGGTCCTGGATAGGTTTGGGATGCTCCATTTGGGGTTTTTCCAACACCACTGGAGGTTTCTGCCTGTGGCAGTGTTTTGGGACATTCCCAGTGTTTTGGGGCATTCCTGGTGTTTTGGGACATTCCCAGTGTCCATCCCGCCCTTCCAGGCCCTTCTGGCTGACCCTGGTGGTGGCCGTGCTCGTGCAGCATCTCCTGGCCCATTTCCAGTTCCTGGAGCAGCATTCCCTGCAGAAGGAGATCACCAACAGGTACAGGGGCACCACCATTGTCCCCCATTGTCCCCAGTTGTCCCTGATTGTCCCCAGGGGGGTTGGCAGGAATTCCAGGCTCCCATGGAGGTTTTTCCAGGTGTTCTGGCCTGGATTTTGGTGGGGTGACACCAGTGAGGGTGGCCCTGCTCCACCGGCCCTGTTCCCAAGCCCAGATCCCTCAGGATTGGCTGGGTGGGGTCGGTCACCACTGAGAGGTGTCCCCCACTCACGGGCGGTGTCACCACCCGTGACCAAGGTGACAGAGGGACACAGGTGTCCTGTGCCACCCCCTGACAGGGCACAGAGGCTCTCCTGGGGCCGGTGTCCATCCCAAACCACCGGCAGATGTCCCTCACTCAGGGATGATGCCACCACCCGAGACCGGGGTGACAGAGGGACACAGGTGTCCTCCTGGCAGCTCAGTGAGGCTCTCCTGGAGCTGGTGGCCTCCATCCCAAAATCCCATCCCCGCAATTTGGCTGGTTCCTCACTCTCCAAGGAGACCAGGAGCTCCTGATGGTTCTCCAGGAGCCTGGGAGGGCGTTGGCTTCTCCCAGTGGGATGGGCTGGATGTGAGTGGGGCCAGGAGGTTTGGGGTGGCCGGAGTTCTCCTGGAAGGGCCATCCCGGGGGTCCGTGTGTCCTGCAGGCGCGCGCTGTTCATCGTCACCTTCCTGCTCTTCCCCACCAACGTCCTGGTGGGCTCCATGGCAGCCGTGTGGCGCGTGGTCATCTCCGGCCTCTACAACGCCGTCCACTTCTGCCGGCTGGACATCAGCCTGCTGCACCGCGGCGTGGAGACCTTCGACCCAGGTGGGACCGCGAGAGGTCACCGTGCCACCACCGCGGGTTGGGATGGGGGCCCGGAGCTGCTGGGATTGAGGGTGACCCCAAAAGTTGGGAGTGGGACACCTGGAGCAGGTGGCTTCTCCTGATTCCTGCTTTTTGTCCCCAAAAAATAAGTGGTGACCTTGGAACTTCACCAGTGGTCACCTCATGTCTTGGGATAAAGAAGAAGGGACCTCCACATTTTTCCTGTGGGATTGAGGGTGGCTTGGAAATGGGATGATGGCAGCAGGTGGCTTCTCCTGATTCCTGCTTGGTCCTGCTCTTTGATCCCAAAAAATGGGGGATGACCTTTGGGTTTCCACCAGTTGTTACCTCATGTCTCAGGATAAAGGAGGGGGGACCTCAGGGGACCTTGGACCTTCCTCTGATTTTCCTGCTGGGATTGAGGGTGGCTTCAGAGTGTTGGGAATGGAGCACCTGGAGCAGGTGGTGCCAGCAGGGTCCTGCTATTCATTCCCCAAAAAATGGGATGAGCTCTGGGGTTTCCCTTCATCTCCTGGGATAAAGGAGAGGAGACCTCAGGGGAGCTCAGGCTGGCCCCTGCTTTTCCTGCTGGGATTGTGGGGTGTGGAGACCAGAGCTGGATGCATCCCTGGGCTCCGGGTGGGAATGGGTAGTGCTGTCCCCAGTGAGGGCACGGTGTCCCCGCAGGGTACCGCACCTACTGCCACTACCTGCG